ATTTGTTTTCTGTTTGACCCTCTGCTTTTTGTTTCTGTTTTTCTTTCCTGCATTCTTTTTGCTTTATTGAACATTCCTTCAGATTCTCCTTCAAGTTATTTAGTAGGTTCTTAACTATGTTCTCTTTGTATTTTGTCTGTATGTGTAGTTACTCTAGGGATTACACCATGTATTCTTAACTTTTTGCCGACTCTTATAGCTAATATTGGACCATTTTATTTTCATCATATAAATGTTGCAACTAAATTACCAAATCAGTCCATTTACTGCCCCGTTCATCCTTAATGTTATGATGTTGTATGTATTCATCTACATATTTTATAAACACTGTAAGACAGTGTTGTAATTTTAGCATTAGATAGACTTGTCTATTTAAATTAAATTACTAGGAAAAAGTAATCTTTTATATTTACCCAGACATTTACCATTTCTGATGCTCTTTATTCCTTCCTCAAGAATTTACTTTTCAACTGCTATTTCCCTTCAGACTAAATAAGAATTTCTCTTGCACTTTCTGTATTGCAGGTTGACTGTTAACACATTCTTATAGCTTCAGTTATCTGAAATGCATTTTGCCTTCATTCTTAAATGGTACATTTTTGGATGTAGAATACTGGACTGACACCCATTTTCTTTCTGCATACTTAAGTCATTGTTTTTTTTTGTGTTTAACATGTCATTTATTTCTCACTGCTTTCAAGATTTTTTCCTTTATGATTGTTTTCCCTCATATTTATTCCACTAGAAGTTCACTGAAGTTCTTGAATGTTTTGAAACTTTTGTCTTGCACTAAATTTGGGAAATTTGTAGCCATTATTTATTCAAAGAGTTTTTGTTCCTAGTTTCTCTACTTGCCTTCTAATTACAATTATACATATATTAGCCCTTTTAATATTTAGCCCTCTGTCCCTGAGACTCAGGTTTATTATTTTTTCAATCTTTTTAGTCTCTGTTGTTCAGACTGACTCATTTTTATTGATCTGACATCATTTTCACTAACTCTTCTGTCACCTTGATTCTGCTTGTAAGCCTATCCAGGTTAATTTTTTTTTAAATCTTTAATCCTTTTTTTTTTTTTTTTTTTGAGATGGAATCTTGCTGTGTTGCCTAGGCTAAAGTGTAGTGCTGCAACCTCCACCTCCTGGGTTCAAGCAATTCTACTGCCTCAGCCTCTTGAGTAGCTGGGATTACAGGTGCCCCCCACCATGCCTGGCTAATTTTTGTATTTTTAGTAGAGACGGGGTTTCACCACGTTGGTCAGACTGGTCTCAAACTCCTGACCTTGTGATCCACCCGCCTTGGCCTCCTGAAGTGCTGGGATTACAGGCATGAACCACCGTGCCTGGCCCCAGTTAATTTTATAATTTCAAATAATGTATTTTTCAGTTCTAGAACTTCTTATTGGTTCTTTTTTTTGATATTTTCTTCTGTTTCTCTGATGAGATTTCCTGTCTTATTCATTTAAGTGTATTTCTATTTATATCTTTGAATACAATTTTAATTGCTCCTTTAAAGTTTTTGTCTGCTAATTCTAACATTTGAGTGACTTTGGGATTGGTCTCTATTGTCGTCTGAAAATGAGTCACATTTTTCTTTTTCCTTGTTTGTGAAGTAATTTTGTATGTATCCTAGTTATTGCTGTAATTACTACATTGTAGAGACTCTGGATTCTGTTTTATTCATCTGAAAAGCATTGATTTTTGTTTGTTTTAGCAGGCATTTAATGGTTAGGTTCAAACTGCAAACTCTCGTGGGCTGCCCTCAAATCTTTACTTATTGTGCCGTTAGCTGGTATTTTTGGAGTTTTCCCTGCACATATGTGGTTCCACAAGTCAGCTGTAGACTTGAACTGAATGTATGCACAGAATTTAGGACTCTTCCTTTCTGACTCCATCCTTTCCAGGGTTCCTCCCTCACTTTCTAGTTGTTTGGTTACCTGGCACCTCATCCTCTGGTTCTTCAGACAGATAGACTGAGGAATTTTCATCAGAGCTTTAGTTGCTCTGCATGTTGTGGCTGGAGCCTGCCCACAGGCTGAAAGCTGCAACAAACACGTAACTAACTCACTTAGTGTCATCTCTTTTTCTGTGTTGATTCCCCTCTAGGATCAACCTGGTTTTGATAATCTTCCAGTGCTTTCAGGTAGTTAATTTGTTGTACTTTTGTTTGTAGCTTGTAGTTGTTCCATGCAGGAGAATTCCTCTGATAAGAGGTTACTCAGCCATTATGGAAAGTAATGTGGCAAATGTGGTATGTTGAAGTACAAGCTTAATAGTTATCTTATTGTTTTAAAATATCCAGAAAAGGAAGAGAGTATGATGTATATAATACACACACACACACACACACACACACACGCACACGCACACGGAAAGAACTGTTTTAACCCCATAGTTCATTTAATAAAACATTGGAGCAGAACACATTTCCATTGTAAGTGTAGATAGTTTATTACATGTCAAAAGAAAATTCTTAAATTCATAAAAAATATATGTATATGGAAATAAACCTGGGATTTATTGTGACTATTTTCAGGGATGTTATACTAGCAGTAATTACATTTTAAAAGCTAATCAGATGACTGAAATCTTGGACTGATTTACAAGTTCTGTTGTGTATTTTATAGGTAATTTTTTTTTTTTTT